TCTGCCCCCCCCAACATGATTGTCAAAAAAAAAGTCCCCTTTGCCTTTTTTTTAATTGTAAGGAGGAACAGATACCTGGAAGAAAGCATTCCCCCACCCCCTTTCCACAAGATTAAGCAGTCTTATGTCTGGGATAGAATATACCAGCCCTCTCAGGAAAACAAAGCCAAAAAATGTTTAGTATATAGCAGAAATCAGTGTAAGTTACTCCTTGATCTCCATTCAAGAGAGTATAATTGTTAAGATACTGGAAGGACCTTGTTATCTGACCTCTATGGCAATCCCACAGAGTCTACTCCAAGGTCAGCTAGCATTAGTGAGAAGTGGCTAATCTATTCTTGTATTAACTGAAGAATTCATTGCCCTCACCACCACTACCAATGACCCAATAACCAAAGCAACTGCAGATCCAGCCCTGTTTATTAATGAATTCCAAGCCTTCTTAGGGATTTTCTCCATCATAATACTGCTATGTAGAGATGCCACTCTGAGGTCAAAATGGCACTTGATGAATTCCAAAGGCAAACAATATACTGTGCTAGAAAGGGTACTGGACAGGTTGTCAGTATAACTGAGTTCCAGCCTTGGCACTGCCACTGACCAGATGTTCGACCTTTGATGAGTTATTAACCCTCTGGGCCTCAGTTTCTTTTTTCTTTAAAATGCAGGAGCTGAACTAGATGACCTCCAAACACTCCTTCTAGTTGTAAAAGATCTATTTTATTTTATCTTTGTTATCAGCTCTCATTCAATAAGCTCCTAGGTGCTGCTATGTATAATATAAGGTCTACCCAGAAGATAAGGTTTATGTTCATCAAATATTTATTATTAATTATATTCTAATAATAATAATGACATTTATATAATGCTTTTCAATGTGCAAAGGGTTATATATGCATTATTTTATTTGAGACTCTCAACAACTTTGTGACCCATTTCCCTATTACAGATGGGGAAACTGAGATTCAGAGATTGTGACTTGTCAATAGTCACCACAAGTATAGAAGACAGGAATTGAGGGGGCAGCTAGGTGGCGCAGTGGATAGAGCACCGGCCTTGGATTCAGGAGAACCCGAGTTCAAATGTGGACTCAGACATATAACACTTACTAGCTGTGTAACCCTGGGCAAGTTGCTTAACCCCATTGCCCAACAACAACAACAAAAATTTTAAAAAAATTAAAGACAGGAACTGAACTCAGGTCTCTCCTACTCCGGCAGAGTGTATTATATCACACTGCTTCTTAAACATCTATTAGTTGCTAAAGAGAATATAAAGAAGTATTAGACTTAGTCCAAGCCTTCAAGTTGCCTACAGTCTCTTGGCAAGGCAGAAAATAATATAAACAATATAAGTTAAGTGACAATACAAGAATTATATGGCAATTTAAGACATCAGTATAAGAGATGTCATGAGTCAGTATCCGATTAATTGTCAAATTAATCCATAAACAATATGGGATACAACCCACTACTACTCATTAAATAACATGGAGAAGAAGAGTTGGGAATAGGAGACCATTATTAGCACCCAAAGGAATAATTAACTTTAATTGTTTCCAAGAATTACACTCCCCTCTACCAACCCTGACCTTTTTCTGCATTCATCCCCTCTCCCTCTGTCACACACACACACACACACACAAATACACACACATGCATGCATATACATACCACCTCAAACTACATTAGGTATTCTTCCTTCTATCTTCTGCCTTTGACCCTCCTTCTTTCACCCTTCAACTGTAGAGCTTGGAGTACTAAGGAACGATTTCTAGGTTAGGAAATAAGCCCTGTGATCTCTGGAGAGGTGATGTGATATAACAGAAACAGCACTGAGCTATCATCAATCAAAAGATATGGGTTGGTGTCCTGACTCTTCCACTTTTTAGTGATGTGACCTTAAACAAGGACCTTCATCTCTCTGAGTGAACATCAGTCTTCTCATCTGTCAAATGGGGATAATAGCATTTATCCTGTTTAATTTATAGGTCTATAGTAAGGATCACATGAAATGAAGTATATAAAATACTGTATAAATGTCAGCTATGAATATAAGCTTTTATTATTACCATCATTTTCTGGGCTTCACTTACAGCAGCTGCCCTTACTGCTCACCTAGTTATGCCATGGGCACCATTCCCTTTGAGCCTCTGTGCTGCTTTCCTATAACACTTCTCTGGAGCAAAGGATCAAGGATATGAATTCTCTGTTTCTGGTGGCTAATATCACCATCCTTCTTGAAATGTTTATTTTAATAAATGCCTTTGGTTATGGTTTTGTAACATTTGGCTAACAGCTCCCAAACCAAGCAGTTATAGTGGATAGTTGCACAGTCTAACTGTTCTCCAGCCAGATTCCTCCTCTCAATAAAGCCTATTTGATAAAATGTGAAGATTATCTGTGGGGAGAGGGTGGAAGGGTGGGTAGAGGGAGGAAAGAAGGGATGCTCTCCAAATGACAGTTAAATGGCTTTTTGTAATCATTAAAAAGTGAACAGGAAGGCCCAACTCTCCTCTGGCCCCTCCTTCCTCACCAGCACACATGTGCTCACAGCAGATAGAGGAAAACACCGAGACTTTGTGGAGCATCGCCTACCAGGAATAGCAGCTTGGAAGGAGGGAAAGGGGATAGGACAGAAGATAAGAGAAATTTACTCCTAGATGGGACCTTAGAAAATATTTAGTCCAACTGTTGCATTTTATAGATGAGGAAACTGAGGCCCAGAGTGGGGGCATGACTGGGTTTGGAATCCACACTCACCCAAATGCCTCACTTCTTCTCCCAATGGGTAAGGTAGAGAGCTATGATATTGCAACAGAGGGGACTGCTTCAAGGGAAATTCATTACTTCATTAAAAGGAAGACCATGAGCATACTGTATTGTAGGTGCTGCTCCAAAGGTTCACTTCACCCAAAATCTGGTCAAGTCACCCAGGCAGCAATGGTATTGTGCAAAGAATGTTGGCCTGGGAGACAGGAGATCTGGATTCTGTCTTGGATCTTCTACTAACTCGCTATGTGGCCTTGGGAAACATACTCAATCCCCATGAGTTTCAATCTCCTTATCTGCAAAAGGAGAGGACTGGAGTAAAGATCTTTCTCCTGATGGAAAGTAAATACCTTGAAAGCAGGGACTATTTTTTTTCCTTTGTATTCCTCCCCCCCCCCAAGCTTGGCCCAGTACCTGGCACATAACAAGTGTTTAACAAATTCATGTCTCTTTTGTGTCTGACATTCTTTGAAGGAGGAGTGGGGTCCCACTTCTCAAGATAGTCATCACAGTATTTTTTTTCCCTAAAGAAGTAAGTCATTTGGGGAAACTCATAAACCATTTGAGAGGCCAAATTTAACCGTGAAAACAGGGATGTTTAGTCCGTGTTCCTACATCCTTACTACTGTCATGGCAAGTGTTGGTTGTAGACAGAAAGGGGAGAAAGGAATGAAGCTTTTCAAATTTTTAAATACCATTTGTTTACATTAATTAGTCCAAAACAGAAGAAAATATCTCACTCTATATGTGTGCATCTATAAATATCTGCCTGCACACCTACAGTATATTTACTTCCATGTTTGTATACATAGGGTGTAAAAATCAAATGGTATTCTTCATTTTAATATAGAGGTCCTCAATTAAAGGAAGTCCACTAGGTATTCATTTACACTTTCAGAAATAATAGTTTATGGTAATGATCCTGTCAAGTGGCTAATACCCTATCTTGTGGAAAGATACCTTCCCAGTCCACCTTTTATCTTAGGGAATTTACAAAGGATTCTAAACAAGCACATCAATAGCCACTAACTTCCAGGTCAGGACTATTAAATAAATAAGTACACAAACAAATAAGTGAGATAACACCAAAGAATCTCCTCTCTCCCACCCCCAGGCCCCACACACACCTTGGAAGGAACAGATTGAAGATTGGGGGCTTAAAAGGGAATCGTTATCTTGAGACAGAGATTGAGCTATAGACTAAGCTTAAAAGGCTAGGCAAACTGAAGATTCATCAATTCACAGGACACGTCTCCTCATGTGGATCCAGCTCTGAGGGAAAGATGGTTTAAAATGACTAATATAACATCAACATTTTTAAAAAATCATACAAATTATATTGGGATGGCTGTGACATCTCAAATATTATGACAGATTGAATGATCTGTCAAGTCTTATCAAACTGGAAAGTATCAGAATTGGGGTATTTAATACAACCATATGCATCTGTCATCCAAGGACTAAATGCTGAGAGGCAATGAGGTGGCATAAAAAGAGGACTGGTTTTAGTCAGATGACCTTAATTTGAATCCTGGCTCTGTCATGTATTACCTGTGTGACCTTGGGCAAATCAATTAACTCCCTGGGCCTTAATTTCCTCATTTGTAAGATGGAGTTGGACTACCTGACTTGAGTTGGTCCCCTCCAACTCTACTTTCCTGTGGTCTGGTGTGATATTTTAGGTTTCTATATATTTTGTGACTTATTTTAAATATGATTGTTTTACCTGGCTCTCTTTTTTTTTTGTTTCCTTAATTGTTATTTTTGTCTATTTTTGAGCCCAAATGCTTTTTTTTCTGTGTGAAAACACCTGGAATTTATAGTGGAAATAATTGGAGAAAAAGGATTCTGCTTTTGGAAATTTCACTTCTGAAACTTTTATTCAGGATCATAACTGTTTTGTAATGTAAGGTCAGAGTCATGTCATCTCTTCTTCTCTTCCCAACCCCCATCCCCAAACAGCCACTCTAGAACTCAGGAGTTTGTCGTTTCAACAGACCTCACTATTTCCTTGTAGGAGTCTATTGCTAAAACTCCACCGAGCTAGCCATCCTGTGTTCTTATGCTATATATAACAACTTTACATAAAAGAATACAGGACTGCCATTTTTAGAAAATGCAGGTGCCATATAAGCCTCTTTCTGAAAGAAAGAACTTAGCTTAGTTCCTTTGAAGAACTGGAGACTTGAAACTGAAAACTTTATTAATGCCATTGTCTCCTTGTATCAGCAGGTTCCAGAGAGATTCCTGGAAGTCGCACAGATCACATTACGAGAGTTTTTCAATGCCATTATCGCAGGCAAAGATGTTGATCCTTCCTGGAAGAAGGCCATATACAAGGTCATCTGCAAGCTGGATAGTGAAGTCCCTGAGATTTTCAAATCCCCGAACTGCCTACAAGAGCTTCTTCATGAATAGAGGTTTTCAACAACTCTTTCTGAATGTATGAAAAGTAGCAGTCCCCTTTGGATGCCCAAGTTATGTGTATCTAAATTTTGATTTCATACACATGTGTATGAGAGACATAGATATGTTTATGAAATCAGCTGGTAATTCTGCCTCCTCTTCATGAACTCTTTTTTTTTCTTTTGTGTTGTTCTGTTGCAAGGGGATACTGAATTGTCCTTCTGCCTTCAGTTTACTTTTTGCCCAAGGCCCTTAACATTTGAAGACTTAAATGGGGTTCATTTTCAGGGAGAAGAATTTTGAAGTGGGTAAAGCCTGTCTTAGCAAGGTAGGGCATCATGTATGTGATGCCTGTGTCAGATACGTGGCTTGCTGCTAAGTGGCATTTTGGCCGAGGGAAACCAGCATCATGGCACACTACTGTAGACAATGAAGTTTCCTCTTGTTTTTACTGCTAAAAAGGTCTGAAACTCTATGGAATCACTATTTAAGCTTACTTTTATTTTATTTAGCTAATTATGTTGCTTTTGCTAAAAACAGCTAATGACTTTTTTAGCAGCTCATTGCCTAAAGTGATAACCCCAGAAGACTGGATTTCCAAACAAAACAAAACAACAAAAAGCTATTGACCTTTTCCTAATAGGAATGATGACTACCCCCACTCCCAAATTAATGACTTAGCTGCCAGTTTCTTATTGAGGCAAACCGATTTTGCACAAGATTGGCCCTTTCAGGTTGAGATTGGCAACTTATGCATGATGGTCTAGCCACTTCTCTCATTTTACAGTATGGTCCTCTTGTTAAAAAACAGAACATATTTCATTCTCCACAAAGTAAAACCTAAATCTTTTCTATTTACCCTCATCTTACTTCAGATACTAAAAGGCACACAAGTTTCAAACCTACTTTTGGCTCAACTTTGCTTAAAGTTGCATTAAAAAGATAACTCCATTTGATATTTAAGGCGCCCCCCCCATATAATTTTCTGAATTACCTTTATACAGGAAGAGAAAAATAATCCCATCCTGGACTTTCAATTCCTGGTTATCCTGTAAGCTTTTTAAATAACAATTAAGTTTGCTTGGACTTCATCTTGTCAGAGGAACACATATAAGAATGACCCTTCCCCCCCTCAAAAAAAGATGATTTCTCAGATTTGCAAGCATTTGTTAAGCACCTACAAATGTGACAAAATAAGTCATAGAAACAATCCCCCACTGTATTGATGGATATGCAAAGTGATGACAACCTAACTGATTTTTTCCTCGCTTTTCTGTGCAGCTTTTAAAAATGAGTGATATGCTACCAGTCTCTTCTAACACAGAAGCTAGTATTGACCAAAATATGAGTAGAGTGAGTGTACAGTGTAGTAAAGTTTGGGATTAACCTAAGTGATGCTATTTCAGCATAATATAAGAAAGCTAGCTGCTAGTTCTTTGTGCTTTCTTCACTGGTTCTCCTTTTTTATTATTTTCAAAATTTCAAGTGTATACTGTCCAATATTTACTTTAAAAAAACACATCTGATGGCATTTATACTTCTTTTTTTCTGATTTCTTTTTGAACAGATGCAGTAAGAATTTATTGTTCATTAATGTTTTCCACCCTCTCCCCCTTCATCAGGTAATTTGGTTAAAAGCAATTTTCACTAAATGATTCACTAACAAATCTGGTATTTAGATCATAGGGAACATAAATATGGCATTTCCTTAACTTTTTTTTTTTCTATTCCAAAACTGCATTTGACTTTGGAGAGTGAAAGTTTACCCATGTGACTAAAGAGCTGACCTGATCACTGCAATTTCACTTCATTTATAAATACTGCTGATAGACAGAAATGTATGAAAGCTATTATTGTCAGCACAAAGCCTTAAAAACCTGCTGACTTTAAATTAAACAGCCCAATCCTATGATGCCCTGTCATTATTCCCAAGCACAGGCAGGATCCCTGCCGTATAGACAATGAAAACAATAACATGGAATGAAGTGCCAGCAGCTTCAAAATGAGTCAAACACAAAACATCTTTTCCAGTGTACTTGTCTTAAAGGATGGGCACAACAGGATATGCATCTTTTTTCCTTAAAAAAAATAAAGTTTGATTTGGCAACTATGGCATTTAATGTGTCTACAATCCAATCTGCACTTTGTAAAGAGATGATTAACTGGTGGTAGTCCCCTCTTTGGGGTATTGCTACCCACTGGAAAAGGTGATCTGCAGGCCCAAATGAGGATCAAGTCAGTCCTTGGCTGTTAAAATGTCACTGGAGTGGTGTTACAATACTGCATTGCCACTGACAATGGGAAAAGGCAAAGCCATACTTTATGCAGACTCTGTGGAAGAATTGCTATGTACTTTCTTGATCTGAAATGAAACTGATTCTTCAATTACAATGAGTTGATTTTTAAATTGCAATTCTGACCCCACCTCCTCCCCACACACACACTCTCCACCCTTCCCCTCCACCTAATTTAATTAAGCGAACTGAGCAAAACTGTAGACTCACACCTAGATGCTATTGCATTTATCTAATGAGAGTAATAGAATCTTGATCTTCACTGAGGCATAGAAATGATTTCAGAGTGGAAACATTTCATTGCTTGGTCACTTTGCTTCTGGGGCACAGGAGTTCCCCACACAGTGCAGCCATATTATCTTATGCCTCTTAATACATCGGAAATGACAAAAATCTGGGTGACAAAACTCTTATTTAATTAAAAGTACAAATGGTATGAACACTCTCCCTAAATGAAATTTGACTAGGTTGGAGAAGGCTAATTATTTGTGGTGGGGGAGAGTTTAGACAGAGAAAATAATTTAAAGTCCATGTTGAAATGACCACATTGCCACTCATTTTCTGCTAATTCTGATTTCTTTCTGCATACACACTTGAGGTTATAGTCTGTGCCTAGACCTTAAATGCACCAGCGGAAGGATTAAAAAAAAAATCCTTCAAAATGCCAGTTTTTTTTCCCACAAGTACAATTGTTCTTGTGCCTTCTGTGGCTTTCAATTTCATCTTTTAGACTTTATTTCCAATTACTACAGCTGCAATAAACACTAGATTTTTTTTCTGGCTGTTTGACATAATGTTGATAGCTATGCATATTTTGTGTCTTTTTAAAAAAAAACAAAGCGGCAGACTACGTTTTTGAAGAAGAGAATTTTTAGAACAGTTTGATAACGCAAATTATTTTTTTCCTCAATTGTTTGAGCAGCATTCAAGTTTTGAAAATTCTTGTAGAAGCCAATTTTTTGTAACTGTGGTGCAAATCTTGTGTTTTCTTAGCCTAAAGAAAAGTAGTATAGAAGCAATATTTCATATGATGTGCTATACATGTGTATGCATAAGCATACATGTATATAGACACATACAGAATCTATCTATATCTATATCTATATATATATATATATATATATATGCGTGTGAAGTGAAAAGCTTACCTTTTTCCTATCTAGATTTAAGATCCTATTTTAGACATCTGTTATGTTTTGTGAAAAGAATGTTCTATTTGCAACTGCAAAACATTTAATTCTTACTGTATCTCTGGTTGTTTAATGAGAACGTTTCACATTAAATGGTATAACAAGTGGAATATGTTAGAATGTAGGCATTATTTAAGGAAATGTTCACCCATATATATTCCTGAGGTTTGCTTTGTGCCTCTGAGTATTATTTAATTAAAAGTGTTTTAAGTTTGCAAAATCTTTATTACTGTACCAGGGAAGTGGGTGAATGTCTTTGAAAAAAATACAAAAACATAAAAATAAAAAATAAAACAAAACAAAACCAAGAGGGGAACTTTTATAAAGCAATGTAAATATTTAACCTTATGGCTGTTCTTGCATAATACATAGATTTTAATAATGACATTCTCAAAACATCTGTTGGATTTATTAGGAACTCTTCAGTAACTGTATAGATAGTTGAAAGCATTCTTCAAAATCCAGCTTCTCTACTTTTAAAAGATAACAGTCTCTTTCATCAGATGTCAAGGACAAGGGTGATACAGTTTCTGTAAAAATTACAGAATTTTTTTCTATGTACGTGAAGTCATTTAATAAGTAAAAAAATTTTCTTTTCCATAGGTTAATGTTAAGGTATAAAGGTGAAGATATTTGTGGCTTTAAAACTAGGATTTTCACCAGCAGCATTGACAAATTTGTAAAATGAAGAGTGGTTTACAGCTCCCCCAGAATAAGCATTGTACATGAGAAGTTAGAGCAAAAATGATTTACCATGTGTATTATAAAGTATTCATTGGTGTGACTAGTGCAAATGTTTCCTTCTGGTACCAACTCTGTGTTTGAATATTCCAAGAGGCATTGTTTTCAAAAAGCTCCCCTTAAAAGGAATGTAACTGGTTTATATGAGTATCAGTTACTGTATTGCACTTAACTGTTATGTTGAAGGAAATGCAATTTTGTTTTCTGTAGAACTGTTGGTTGTAAACCATCCATAAACTGAAACTAAGAAAGGCTCATTCAAAGCTGGGATTAAAAACTGGTATTTTTTAGCCTTTGGATCTTCTTAGAAACACTCTTGGTGGGGAATTGGATGGCATCTGTACTCTTCAGAGTCTTTTTACCTAAGCTACAATTCCTCCTCCCAAATCTGCCATCCAGTAAAATGCAGTGCATCTGAGAGGGAGAAGCAACCAGGAGATATACATTTCTTGGGCTAGCCCTCTCACAAGAGGATTTATTCATTCTGTATTTTGCAAAAACATAGGTCCTCCCCACAGTGGGACAAAAGCTGTTCAAAAGTGTGTTTGAGTTGCTCCCTACAAAATCAGAAATCAGAGTGAGAGAAACCCGTACTGAGTTGGACTGAAAGCTCCCTAGAAGAGTCAAAGGTTAAAGTTCACACTAGTATCATCCCAGCCATTACTCATTTGTATATAGTTACAAAACGTGACAAGACACTGCCTTTATATTATTTAGCAATATGTTGTAAATAGCATTAAGCTCTTTTTTTGTAATGAAGACCCTTTAATTTGAAAATAGTACAATAACTGAACTGATAAAGTCAATTTTTGAGTTTGTTTTGTTTTGTTTTTTTTAGTTAGAGGCAATTTCAACTGTGGATTTTTTGTTGTTGTTGTCTATTGTTCTAAAGACTTTGCATAATTTATTGGTTTAATTTATCCTAATTTATTTGATGAAGGTGTACAATTTTGTATTACCAAGGATGTACTGTAATATTAATTGATGATATGATTAAAAAAATGAGATTCCCTGTCCATATTAAATAAATTTTTAAAAGGTGCAGTAGACAATTGATTTTAAAGTCGAAGTGAACATTTTAGTTTGGCAGCTAAATTTTAAAACAGGAAAAAAAAAGACGTTGTTTGGGGGTAGGGTGGGAATGGGGTTTTATTTTGTGTGTTTTAAGCTTTTGTATACTCTCCAAACTTTGACCTTTTTGCTTTGTACCACTTAAAGGATACAGTAGTTCAATTGCCTTGTGTGCCTTCCATCTTCTCTTAAACTGAATGTATGTGCAGTATATATGCAAGCTTGTGCAAAATAAATATAAATTACAAGCTCATTGATGTGCTTTGGATTTTTTTCTGAAAATATCTCGTAGGGGATTGAATGTGGGGTCGAGGTCCACTCAAGACAACAGACTATGATGCAATTAGGATGACAGTTAGAGTGTTTATCCCCTAACACCCTGGATGATAAAACCTGACAACTGGGCCCCAAACACTGATGATACAAATACCTTTTGTTACCTGGGCAGTTTGATTCATCCAGATTTCAGGGTTTCCAGGTAACCTCCTATTGCCACAAGGTTGATTCCAAGGACAAATTTACCTTTGTTTATCCCTTATGAGGAAGAACACAAAGCCAGGTTGGGTCAAACTGCTGTTATAATTTTCTCCCCACAGTTTCTAGTTCCAGATGATTCAAAGGAAGACGTAAACATGACCACATTTCACCCACTTGCTAAAATCATAGAATTAAAAAGAGGCAGCCTAGGATAGGAGGCATGGTAGAATAGAAAAGGGACATTGAGACACAGATGGATTTGAGACACAGAAGCCACAAGTTCAGCTCTGACACTTCCAAGTTATGTGACCTTGGCTAAGTCATTTATTTCATCTCAGAGCCTTAGTTTCTTCATCTGTAAGATGAGGCTAATTGCACACAACACACTGCCTCCCTCAAGGGGTTGTAATAAGGAAATGTCTTGGAAACCCAGAAAGGGTAATAGAAGAAATGTTAACTGTTCTTTTGTAAACTGTTCCAGAAGAACCAAAAGCATTTGTGACTTCTATTCTGGCAAATTTAAAGTCTGAAGAGCTACTCCAGACTTTCATAAATGGGTTTGGAGTAGTCTCCTCTAGCCAAACTTCCCAGAGTAGTAAGCATTCGTGGTTTGGCTTCAGGGGGAAAAAACTGCCTCTCCTTCCATTTGTCATTTGAAGAAAGCTGGCAGTGAAGTGAATAGAGTAGAGGGCTTGGAAATTAGAGGAACCTGAATTTATATCTGACCTCTGTTTGCCTCCATTTCCTCAACTGTAAAAAAGGATATAATAATAGCACCTCCCTCACAGGGCCGTCATGAGGATTGAATGAGATAAATGTTGTAAAAGGCACAGAGTAGGTGCTATATAAATACTTATTCCCTCTCTTTCATTTGCTTTTATTTAACATAAACTTCCTTTTTGAATTGGCAGCCAGAGGAATGAGCAGTGATTGCAGGACTTAGAGACTGAAGTGATCTGAGAGATCAAATAGTACAACAGTTATTTTATGGATAAAGAAGCCAAGGCCCAGAGAGGGGCCTTATTTAAGGCCACACAAATAGAAAGTGGATGAGTCAAGATTCAAACTTGTGTTCTGGACCCTGGTGTTCTTGCCATTAAGCTATTACCTCAGTTCCCCTCTCTAGGCTTCAGTTTCATTGGATTACATGATTATCTAATACCTCTACCAGATATAAATTCTATAATGTGCTCACAGTCACACAGGTTCAAGCCCTCTGACCCTTTGACTCAAAATTCAGTGATCTTTCCATTTCACTGTTTTCTTCCTCTAGGAAACTCACTATTTTATGAACTTCATCCAATTAAATTCTGAAGTATTCATTAGGCACCGACTGTATACATAGCATTATGCTGGCCACTTCAGAGGATACAAAGTTTAACTAAGTCACAGTCCCTGCCCTCATGGAGTTCATATTCCAGCATGAACATAAGACACCAACTCAGGTAATTTTATTACAAAACAACATGTGATAAGTGCATTGGAAAGTTGTTAATGAGGTATCAAGTAAAGTCATCTGCCTTACTAAATAATGGTAGGCCCAATTCTAATCTCTTAGGTCTTAGTCATTTCTTCCTGTGCCTGAATGCTAAATGTTTTACATTTCGGCCATTTCTTCCTCTTGACAGAGGGTGCCTAAAAATCAATGGAAGAGTTAATTAAGTGACATAGTAACATGTTCATTTCTAGCCCTCTGTATTAAGGGCAGTAGCCCAAATTCCTGAAGTCTGAGATGTACCTCCCTCCCCCCAAAATACCATGACCAGGAGTCATGACTTCAGAGTTTGGAAAAGGAGAGCCTCCTACATCTGTGGGCCCTCACAAGTACCACAAAGGCTGCTGGGGACATATAAGCACCTCTTCCTAATGGCCATCTATAATCTGTTTTAAAACGGCGCAGGTACTTGTCCTTCCTAATTCATTCTAAATCATGGAAGATGACAGTTTCAAGAGAAAATAATATATTTAAATATTAAGTTTACAAAAACTATGTTTTTTAATTAGCCTTAGATTTTAGACAGTAAATGATTTCATTATCTTAACCTGCGGAAATATTTAACCCCTTACTCCCCCAGTGGTCTTTAAGCAAAATCTTAATGCCCAAGCATCAGGTATCCTACAGAGGGGATCCTTTGTCAGAGACAGGCAGATTACATGGCTTTTGAGGTCCCTTCCAATCTAATATTTCCTAAGTCTGTGATGAGACATTTTTTTTATAGACAATGGGGTTAAATGACTTGCCCGGGGTCACAGAGCTAGTAAGTATGAAGTGTCCGAGGCCAGATTTGAACTCAGGTCCTCCTGACTCCAGGGCTGGTGCTCTATCCACTTCACAACCTAGGTGCCCCAAGACATTTTTTAAAAAACTGTTTTTGTTATCCTGAACTTGACAAACACCAACAAACATAAATATTTTCATATATAAAGAATCGAAGTATACTGAGTATGAAACTATGAACCTCATTACATGTAGCTTTTGGTTTTTAAAGTGTGTACTAAATTCAGCACATTCATTCCTATAGCTGTCTGCTTATCTGTGTAGCTAGGTGGTATAGTGGATTGAGCCACTAAGACATGAGTTTGAATTCTACTCAGACTCTTACTAGCTTTATGACCCTGGATATATCACTTAATCACTTTCAGCCTTAGTTTCTCTGTCTATAAAATGTTATAATTATATAGCACCTACCTAACAGTGTTGTTTTATCAACATTGGTTAAAAAAAATACTTTGCAACTCATAGAGTGCTACATAAAACATAAGCTATTTTTAAAATAATAGCAGTCAGCTATTACTATGCTCCACACACACCCCCCAGCCTCCTCTTATTCTGTTCTGTTCGTTTTAAATGCTTCCTTAACGCTCCTTTTTTTTGCATTACTTTCACTAGTCTCTCTCACTACTTCAGGTTTCCTTCCCCCTAGACCCCTGAAAATGCCTGAAACCCTTACTGGTAACAAGTTAGCATAATCATATAAAACAGTAGCCTGCCCAAAAATGTATGTGTGACCAGAGATGTTAAAACTGAAGGGGGAAAAAAACACCAATTCACTTGGTTTGATTATATTTATTTGTTGGAAGGTAGAGCTTTTATTAAGAGACTAGGGTGTTGGGATGTATGGAATAGTGATAGTGATGAAAAAAATAAAAAAATAAGAAAGGAGAAGAGAAAGCAAAGGAAAAGGAAGAAAGGGGAGGGAAGGTAAATTAAAGAGAGGAGAGGAGAGAGAGGAGAGGAGAGGAGAGGGGAGGGAAGAAGAGAGTATTAATTAAACATCTAAAAATACACAAGAGAAAAGCAAGTTAAGTTCATGATAGAACAGAGACAAGCTGGGTAGTGCTTATAGTACCAACTTGCTAAGTGCTGGTCTTGTAACCCAAAATTACTTTCCTTATAGGAAATAAAAGAAAGATCAATAAATAATAATGGGCAGCTAAGTTGTGAAGTGGATAGAACACTGAACCTGGAGTCAGAAAGACTTGAGTTCAAATCTGACCTCAGATACTCATTGGCTGTGTGACCCCCAGCAAGTCACTTCAGCTTGTTAGCCTCAGTTTCTTCATCTGTAAAATGAGCTGGAAAAGGAGAAAGCAAAACACTCTAGTATCTTTACCAGGAAAACTCAAAATGGGGTCATGAAGATTTGGACGTGACTGAACTACAGAAAAACAAAACAAAACAAAACCAAAAACAAACAAAAAAAACCAGCAAATGATCTTATTATGCTACATTCAACCTTCCTAGCTTCCAACCTTCCTAAAGGATTCCCAGTGTAGGATATCTAATGCCTGGACATCCAGCTTTTGCTTAAAGACCATTGAAGAGTAAGAGGTTAAATATTGCCCCAGTTTAAGTAGTACCAACATACTATTCTATTAAAATTGATATAACCTTTTAAAAATAGCTATTCACTTTTGATTCATGGTTTATAGACAATCCTTTTTTTCTGCCTTTGTATTTGGGAATGTTCATGTTTGTTGATAGCTATAAAGTTTGTAGTTTTTAAAAATATTTTTAAAAATAAAGGATAAATGGTCAAAGGAGCACTGGACTAATATCAAAAGTTATTTGTACTTTATTTTCATGTCTTTCCCCTCAAAATGTTCCTAGGATCCTTTATCTGATCTCTCCTTTGCCCCATTCACTTCCCTTGTATTATGCTTATCTTACCTACCACTCTACAGTGTAGACTAATGTCAAAACACCTGAATTTGGGTCCTAGCATTGCAACTTGTTTGTTGTGTGCTTTGGTCAAGTTCCTTAACCTTTCTGATCCTCAGTTTCCACATCTGTAAAATGGGGTGAATAATACCTTCCCTACCTGATTCACCATCATATGGTAAAAATAAAATGAGATGATCATTGTCTTTCTATCCTCCATTTAAACTCTGGCTAAGAAGACTGAGTGTAGTATAGTAAGATTATTCACTGATCTTTCTTTTATTTCCTGTAAGGAAAGTAACTTGGGGTTGCAAGACCAGTACTTAGCAAAACCATGGAGTGACCAATTTTGTTCTTCTTTGTGCCTTTTCCATATCTCAGTCCCTTCTGTCCAATTATACAATGATCTCATTCTATACCAACCTTCTTGTCACAGAGAAAAACACGCAACAGAGTCATGCTTGAATGTTAACCACTTGGAATATACCATTCTCAGAGTCACATTATCTTAGTAGAGGGCCACAACGCATCAAACATTACTTAACTCAAAGGAATAAATCTCTAATGGTAAAACTTTAGGCATGGCACCTGATACAAAATTAAGGGGTAAGGAG